CCGCTGCAATAGCTTTTATTTGATGGTGTTTTTTGTTTAACGCCGCACTCAGCAATATTCCAGCTATATGGCGGCGGTCTGTAAATAATCGAATCTGGACCTTTATTTGATACATACTCGTACCAGCTGAACCCATTTTATATACAACAACCCCTCCAATCAATATCTATTAAGAAACAACTGGTATTTCTATTTGACATAGATGCTTGGGGACTAATGACATTCTCTCAAAATGTTCACTTTCTTGGAAAAACTCGTAATGAACCCTTTCATCGTGGAGAGATGTCCATTATAAAATTGCACATTTTAGGAGCGTGCATCTCCCCATGTTTCAAGTGAGTCTGGTAATATTGTATTTCGGAAGATGAAAGCAACAGCACAAGCCTTAAAAGCCTCCGAGTAACAGTCACGATAGAGTTGGAAATAGGCCCAAATGTACACGTCTGATAAGACTCTGAAGAAAACACTCATTATTTGAAATACTTTGTTGCAATTGTTAATCAAACTTTTATTTTTTTCCAAACGAGCCACCTCGTCCATTCCAAGATTGCTAATTCCAGGTGCGTTCTTCTTCATCTGTGGCCACTTTCGCTCTGCAGAAACCATCGTAAAAACTGAAAAGATTGAACCTGTTTGAAATGATGGATCAACAGTCTTTGTTAATGCACTGCAGGGAATAATTTCTTTCATTTTATTTCCATTAGAATCTTTTTCACGCGACCCAAGCTGCAGTATGATAATGACAAATGCGAACAGCCGCTGATAAATTCTTCAGGGATAATTGGTTGAAATGCAACTTCAGAGAACTTCAGATTAATGGATGACGAGTTATATTTGAAGCAAGGACCAGTAATACGTTTTTTAATTGTAATCCAAACATAATCAGCACGGGGATTAAAAGGCGATGACAAGGAGGTTTGTAGCAAGGGAAAACCTGACTACGATTTGTTAACATGGTTCTAAAGGAAAAGGGAAACAGCTCATCTGGAATATTGGAATTCCTTAGGTCAACCATACAAGTTTGCCTTGGAGAAATATGCAAACTTGGAAACAGGCGGTAACGTTTATACAAGAACTCATGAAAATTCCAATCCGCCACGGATAAGGAATGAACATTGTAACTATCAAGCATAAATGGCTCCGTTCAAATGGTGATTAAAGCCTTCATTCCAACTCGTGTCTGTGACGTCAGTGCATCCTGATGAATGCATAATTCATAGTCTTTATTCTGCGAGACAAACGCTGGGTCGCCATTTGACATGGAGGGACGAAGCCCCATAAGGGACCGCACCGCCCTATTGATTAGGGGCTTATTACAACATCGCCAGGATAACACTGCTCTGTGAGGGCGGCTAGACTAAAAGTCCACGAGTATGGGGATGCATAATTCAGCATCCGAAAACTTTTATGGCGTCTCATAAAAAAAGGATGATGTTTCAGACGAGAATTGCATTAGCAACATGTGTGAGACATCTTAAACAAGAAAGAGCTAGGGGAAATTGCAGTTGTAGAAAACCAACCTACTGTAATAGATAGCTGCGTAGGTAGACAGGCGGGCTGTTAGACATACAGATAGAGAAGTAAGTAGGTTTGCAGATAGACAGGATAGATGGGTCTATAAAAGCCCGTCTATCAATTCAGGTTATTCTAAGCTAGGGTTTTATTGATGTGTCTTAAGACGTAAAGCCTGACAATGGTAGAATAACTCTTAGGATAAATTCAGAGTTAAAAAAAAACGTATTCTCTAGTGTTTGTTTCAAAAATATAGTTATACTTGTTCGTCAATCTGAGCTAAATCCGGAATTTCGACCCCTCACTATTCCGCATTTAAATGGGAACAACTGGGTGTCGTTGTACAATACGATCTTAGCGCTAAGATGATCCCATACCTTAACATGGACTTACGACAGTCGTAGCGCTGAGGCTGTTTTGTTAAAAGCCACCCAGGTTGAAATATACTACTCAATGTTTTTAAAGGATATATTGAGTGAGTGAGTGAGTGAGTGAGTTGGGTTTAACGCCGCTTTTAACAGTATTCCAGTTATATCGCGGCGTGTCAGCTTAATGTGGGAGGAAAGCCCCAAGTGATGCAGGTCTTAGACGTTTACCACATCGGTGAAATCAAAGAGCACGGATATGGTGCTGACAAACCTAGAAACATAATTGGGGCGAACCGGGATTCGAACCCACAATCATAGGTTTCTGGCATGCCCAAGGGACGCAACTTTGCACAGCGAATCGCGGCGCCTTAGACGACTGGGCCACCCGTGCCCCGGATATCTTGAGTGTCCTGGTGGGTTGTGAATGTCACTGATGTCTTTGGTATGTCATACGTTTTACGTTTGGTATTCAATATTGCCAAGGAACTGAGGTAAGCATCATTGCAAATAAATTCAACACATGTACACAATTCACTGAATTGTCTCCTTGTTTCATAACAGTTTGAAATATTTCAGTATCCCAGTCAAATGTTGAGCAGTATACATCTTCAGAGAACTTAAGATTTGTAGTTGTTTATGCGTTGTATTGGAAGCAACGACATTAATACATGTATGTTGTCTGTCATAAATTAGCATCGAAATTATCCAAACGAGGAGATATGCCCGTGCACGGATGTTTAACGGAATGTGAGACACAAGTCCATACGTCATATTACTTGATTCATATGAATAAATAATTTAATACAAAGGTCAGAATCCGCTAGCTGTAGTACATAGTGTATAGCGTATCAAAGACTAGTATGTTGAGTGAGTGAGTGAGTATGGTTTTACGCCGCTTTTAGCAATATTCCAGCAATATCACGGCGGAGGACACCAGAAATGGGCTTCACACATTGTGCCCATGTCGGGAATCGAACCCAGGTCTTCGGCGTGACGAGCGAACGCTTTAACCACTAGGCTACCCGACCGCCCCGACTAGTATGTTGAGACCATATTTGTATGTATGCCGATATAAAACACCTCAACACCCCGACAAGCCCATTAAAATGTTCATAAAGCAGTGTTCTAGGGCTTGTTTGAATATCAATAAGATATTTGATACAAACACACCACTGCCCAACATAAAATTTGTAACAGCTGATCTAATTCGTTGTTTCAGGATGTACAGAATTATGTTTGTTTGTTTGTTTGTTGTTTTACGCCGCGTTCAGCAATATTCCAGCTATATGACGGCGGTCTGTACATTATCGATCCCGGACCAGACAATCCAGTGATTGACATTATGAGCATCGATCCACGCAATTGAGATCGATAACATGCAACAACCAAGTCAGCGAGCCTGACCACAAGATCCCGTTAGACGCCTCTTATGGCAAGCATTACAAAAGAGTGAGTAATTGGATTATTTTAACGCTTAAAGCACAAATCCAGTCGCGGGGGGATATCAAGAATGGACTTCACACATTGTACTCACAGACTGTACCCTAATCAAATCCTTGAAGATCCGGGTAGAATAGGTCTTCAGCAACCCATGCTTGCCGTAAAAGGCGCCAACGGGATCGGGTGGTCAGGCTTGGTGACTTTGTCGATGCATGTCAATGTATCCCAATTGGGTGGATCGATGCTCATGATATTAATCACTGGGTGGTCAGGCTTGGTGACTTTGTCGATGCATGTCAATGTATCCCAATTGGGTGGATCGATGCTCATGATGTTAATCACTGGTCCAGACTCGATTATTTACAGACCGCCGTCATATAGCTGAAATATTGCTGAGTGCAGCGTTAAACAACAAACCAACCAGCCAACCAAACCCTGATCTTCGGAGTTGCCGGGAAGCTTTCTCCTCATGCCGAAGATGATTATATGGCTTCTCGATATCCTGACCCAATTAGGGGATCCTACTCACATAGCCCATCTCTCATACCAGGCACATCGTCTCTCACAGACCCAGCCATGCACTGACAACAAGCAAACCATGGACCTGATCAATCACGGCAGATTGTCGTATGAAATAGTCGTTGTGACATAACCATTAGTCATTTCCTGTGGACATTGAGATCTGTCTGACAAATGTCATCGCTTATCTCCTTCAAATGGACGGGCACAGTCGGGTGAGACTAAAGAACATCTTACTGCTAACAGGGTAATCGGGCAGGCTAATTAAGTTAAATTTAGGCAATGGAAGAGATATTAATGTTTGGAAACATCTGCGATGGAAGACTTTGTCACTGACTTACGATGAAACCATGGAAGAACATATTTATTAAGGGACATTGTGCTTTAGTAACCCCCATAATAAAAGCGTATAAATGAAAGCGACAAAACCCATAAGCGTCCATCATCATAAGAGGTCTCTGCTAAAAACCAGAATCCATTGTACGATTTCGATAATACCGTAAGATAATACCGACTGCGTCAAAGGCCGACATGTAAGGTTGGATTAAGGTGTGGATTCTCCTGTATTTTATTAAGATATAAATCCACTGATGCTTGAGAGGAGGGGGTGTCGCATTCATATTAATTTTTTTAATCTCATTCTTATCTCATTTCTATTCTATCCTATGTTTTGATTACAGTTAAGACTAATTGTTAAGTGAAAGGTTTTTATATATATACATACATATATATATATATATGTGTATGCGTGTGTGTGTGTGTGCGTGTGTGTATATATATGTATGTGCGTGTATATATATGTGTGCGTGTGTGTATATATATGTGTTATATATATATATGTGAGTATATATATGTGTGCGTGCGTGCATATATATATATATATGTGTGTGTGTGTGTGTGTGTGTGTGTGTGTGTGTGTGTGTGTGTGTGTGTGTGTGTGTGTGTGTGTGTGTGTGTGTGTGTGTGTTCGAAGTATGTGTATGCAATCGTAGTCCGTAGTTCAAACGAAATCACAGCCTAATCACAGCACCTGAATACCCGATCTCCTTTTCACGCGTGTAGGATCTACTCTGATCAAACGCACCATAATCCATTCGGGGGGTAACAGGTCCGCGCTACACATTACCTCTCAACGGTACACATGAAAACATACAAACATACTCTGATTCACAGAATCATAAAAGTTTAATTCAGTGACATACAGTTTTGATGATTCATCTTTAAAACTTTCACAATCATTTGACATAAATCGCATAAAAGAATATGATTCATAGTAGTCACACGACGTACAACACACACTGTCACATTCATACCCTCGACACCATGGAACACCTTCTATAGCTTACAGTGTTTGGCACGCTGAATTCTACACGGAAACATTGGCTCTTTCCGGAATTATCACACTAAAGCAAACACACTCAAATTGACATAAGGACAACGTAACAAAAGTGTATAATAAGCTGTAACAAAAAAAGCGGCATTCAAGGAACACGGTCTGGAAGTAAATTTGGTCGTTGGATGTCTGCAATTGTGCGTTCACTAACAACGTTTTGGGATACATTTCGTAGAGTAGTCATCTCAAAAGGATTATGGAATATTTCAGTTGAGCAGACATGATGTCCAAATTGGTTGTCAGATATGACTTGCTCGTTTGTCAAACCGTATTATGACAGTCATGGAAATCATGTTGTTTTTGCAGCAATAGGAGTAGAATTAACAAATCTAATAATTCTATTTGAAGAATTGAGTAAAATAACTAGCTCGGGAATTATGACATGCTACCTAATCGAGATTGAAACTCGTTCCGAAGATTTAAAAAAAAATCCTTTATAATTTGTTTTCTTTACTTTGTAAAACATATTCTTGTAATGCATTGGCGTCTCTTGAGTCGATAAAAAGCGTTATCATCAAAATAATAATATTATCTCTATCCACTTTCCACGGATGGCATACATATACATTCTCATCAATATCTTCATACAAGAAATGCGTTTATATGGTAAATACTGAAATAGCATATAACGTTTATTGAATCTATCACAGAACGATTGATTCGTTCATTTCCTGTTCCTTGTTTCCAAAAGAAACTCCTTCTTGTCATTTGCATCAAGCACTGTCCGAGAATGCTTCCTGATTGGTCCACGTGACACAATATACATAAGAGGGCACAGCGCCACCTGGGTGTATGTTAGCCAAGCAGCAATGGTCACGAACACCGATCCAATTGTTCCAGTGTCACCAAACATTCGCCAAAACGCAAGCACAATATAGGGAAACCACAGCGAGCTGAACGAACAGGTTACGACAAAAAATAACCTCGTGAGGTGTTCATTTTTCACAATATGCAAATTCACAACCCTACCAAAATTTGGACGCACCTGCATACGTAGCGGGTTCATCGCCGGATTGGCACCGAATCCATTCATGACGTTAACAAGTGCTTGTCCATTAGCCCCCGGGCCAAAAAATGTCCAGTTGGAACTCCGAGCAGGCTGATGTTCCAGCGGTCGCATCTTCCTGTGAGACCTCAGAAAGGAGAACACCCGCAAGTAGAGAAACACAGATACGAAGACAATAACGGAGAACACAAGCATGAATCCAAGCGTATCGTTTGACTTGTAGTATCGATGATGAAAGGTGCACTGGCTTTCCTCTGGAATGAAGACGTATGTACCTATTCCTACCACAGGGGGGAAGGACATTGCAAAAGCGATCGTCCAGCCAACAACAACCACAATAAGGTTAACCAGTCCTCTGGATCTCCGTTTGTAAAATTTGGAATACACAATTGAGAAGTGGCGATCTATTGATATAGCTAATATAGCTCCTGATGAACTGTAGATGAAGAAGGAGTTAGCAAAGGCAAAGAGTTTGCAAGCTGATGTTCCATATTTCCAAACAGACCCTTGCAGAACCGTCATTAGCACGAGAGGAACACAAAACACTGCTCGGGACAAGTCAGACACACAAAGGCTTAGCAGGTAATAAAATGGCGGACGATGGAGATTACCTTCTTTGACAATTGTGTAAATGATGAACCCATTGCCAGCAACTCCAGATAATGCTATGAGCACTAGTGAGACTGTTTTTAGCACGAGTGCATCAATTGGTATTCCCTTGTAAGCTTCGTGTGATGTTATGTACGTGATAACAGTGGTGGCTGTTGTTACAAAGTCTATCACAGGCGGTGTCGTCCGATTGTAACCAACTGTGTCGTTGCCAACGTATGTTAACGTTTCAGTGAAGTAATTGGTCACGGCAGACGTTGTTTCCTTTATCCAATTAGCAGACGTCAAGTCCGAAGACAAAGCAGACGACATACTTTCAGACGAAACGTCACTTGTCCACAAGTCTGTTACTGTGTTCGTCCACGCATCTGTCACAAAAGATGATGTTTCTGGTGCCACAGATGTCGTCTCTGACGCCGCATGTGACATCTCCGACGTCCACACAGCCGACACAATTGTAGAATTGGACATCCCTGTGGTCGTGTTGTTTCCCACAGCCCAGTCGGTTAAATTGGAAGCAGTTGAAGTAACGTTATATTCCATAGCTCTGTATCTATCGATATGGTCACATCACAGGCACGCGTTCATTAAGTTAGCAGCGCTTGCAGCCGATATAGTTAAGTCCCTCTGGACCTATCATGCCCAAATGCCAAACTAGCAGTTACTGCCACAACGACGAAAACGTTTCTGTCGCGCCTGAACAGCAACAGATGTTAGTCATATGCATGAACTCCAATCAGCCTTTCAGTTATTTCAAACTATAAAAAAAAATACTCCAAAACTTTACTAAAATGATTCCCTTAAGACATTTTGTTTTGCTGAGGAACTGATGCTGTACCGTTGTCTCGTCTGTATGTCCAGGGAAGTGAATGTAGTTTAATTCGTCTGTATCTGTCTAAGATCAAGCGCATGGCTTCGTGCAAAACCAATAATCATGTTTGGCCACAGTAATCAGGTTTAAAGCCTCACATGGGCGTTTTCCACCGCAACGTGCAGCCAGCTCCACGGAGATTTCACAGCGTCCAACCCAAGTCCATACAAAGCCAAATGAGACCAAAATTACAAGCCAGTGCCGGTGAGGCCCCTATGAGACTGAAATATGATGCTTGATCAGCAACAATGCGTGCCTGTATGTAAAACAACAGACGTCGTTTAAACAATCAATTTCATTTGATCATACACACGCCAAAGATGGAATTATGTCCATTCCCTGTGTTAATCATACTGTGGCACGATTTCATTGACTAATATTCAAGTCAAGCTGATTTACGGTCCTATCTCTACACGGTCAATTTGTCCTTGAAGAAATACGATATAATTACTGTAATTATATTTCAAGATTTACCCAATTCCTGCGTCTCCTAGCACTTGGCTCCCTTTAGGTTCCACGTCTACCAGATTACTCTCGGCTAAATGAGTTTTTTATATAAAAAAACGTCAATTGTATGAGATCCTCGTCTGCAATCAACACCTGTTCATCCTCGGGGCGTATCTGACGCTGGGGATATTGCTTCTCAGGACATTAGGTTTTGCGATGTCCATTTCTCATACAGTTAAGGTCACAGTAATGTAAAAAAGTACAATTAATGTAAACACGCCCTTCTAATTAAATGATAGCGTGGTTATAATTCCAAAGTGTATCCTCTGTTAACAACTATCATAACGATTACAGATTGAGAAGTCAAGAAAAAGTGCCAGTTACAGAATATCTATAGTTATGTTTGAGAGACAGGCCAATTTGCAATATGATCGGCTCGATAAAACTTGAAATTACATAAGCTCCTTAAACCATAATGTCATGGGTCTCATTACATTAAAACTATTTCAACTGACGTAAATCCCATTCCTGATGTCTCGTGGGCACTTTGCAATGGGTGTTTGCATCAGTTACAAGTCGTTTATGTCCATCAGAAAGCCATAAATCAACCATCACAGGATGAAAAGCATCAAACTCCTAAGCTTCCACTTACAAGGCTTTTAGGCTTTTCTGTACCATATGCATCTTAAGAGCTTCTCTATATCACGTATCTGAAGTTTGCCAAGCTTCTTCCACGCATGTTACCTTTGCAGCCCCACTTGCTTTTCTTAAATGACATCTGCTGCAGAAACCCCTTGACCTTTCGTCAATGATAAAGTTAAACGAATATTGTTTGCTCACTGTTTGAAATGCCTTCTTCTGTGAAGCTAAGAGCAACTTCAAAGACAATGTAGACCGTGCGGTCTGTGATAAAATAGTGCTGCGTATGTTGGTTTCTTATTGAAATCGTTGTCTGCTACATCTGGACATTTAAATCAACGGTGACTTTCCTTTGAAATGAGACCGCCTGCTAATATTAAAACTTCTAGATCGGTGAACAAGCTGAAGTTTTCGTCTGTCTTAAAGTCTGCATTTAAAATTCCCTTTTGCCAGCCTCGATCTATCACTGGCCTCGTAAAAACTCTATTTGTTTTTTTATTGTCGTCTGCTGCACCGGGAGCAGACGTCAGTCTTTGCGCTCATCACTTTTTTGCCTTGCAATAAGTCCAATGATTTCTGAGCATGCAATATTCAGCAAGTTGGTTCCATAATTTACAGCATGGCGTCATGGAACCCTTACAAATCTTCCGTTTTCCTTTGTGTGGCGTTGACGTTTGCGTTTTTGGCGACCAATCATATCTCATCGAACTGATCATGTGACATCTGGAAGGTTACGTTCCTCCTGAAACGGAAAAGAAGTTCGGTGACATGTAATACATCAAATTCACTTTACTTTAACAACAATTTATTTCAATTTAAGGTTCAACCAGTTCCAATACAGTAAACTACGGTTATAACGAACTCAAAGGGACCACAAATTTTAGTTCGTTTTAACCGTAGTTCGTTATAAGCATATATGCAACATATATACAGCAAAAGACCAGTACCCAAAAGACCAGTTTGTTGTATCCGTCAGTTCGTTATAAGCGTGTTCGTTATAAACGTGTTCGTTATAAGCGTGTTCGTTATAAACGTAGTTTACTGTGAAATTTAATTCCCATTTTTAAAAATATACTCTCCACTTAAATTTATTTGTTTTATGCATAAGTTATATGCATTAATTGCGTCCTAAATATATTTCATATCAGGTGAGGTGAAATGGTGTTTTAATGCTGGGTTTAACCTCGGAGGCGGTAATATCAACGGTCGATGGTGAAACCTGGTGAAACCGTTCGCTCGTCACATCCGAACCTGGGTTCGATTCCACACGTGGGTGTATGTGAAGCCCATTCGTAGATTCCCCGCCGTGACATCGCTATGACATGATTGCATCAAGACGCGTAAAATCAACCTCACTCCCAAGTTTATCAAAACCATGAATCACTTAATGATATCGACGCTGTTGAATTATAGTGTCTCTTTAATACCACAGCATGTTTCAACATTTGCCGTAACTTGCTCTTATCTCGAATGGACAAAACAGGTGATCAATAGCCAGGCCGCTGAAGCAATCATTATTTGCAATTTCCCGATTTAATGGCTAGTTTGATAAAGGGTCTTGTTTGGCTGAAACTGCTGGGTAAAGATCATCTGGTTCTAATTTCTGAATGCTTTACTCTTTTATCACCTCTCTGGCATCTTTTTTCATTCTTCAAATGTTTCACCTTCAATTTTTTCATTGTTTTAGGACGTAGTAGTTATATTGACAGATGAGATGGTATTTGAATTTTGTTTTACATATCCGACAATTCATAATTAAGGGCTTCCGAATAATTCAATTAACAATTTTCTAAATATTTTTTGGGGAACATGCGAATGATCACTGGATCCTAATGACAAAATCCAGCACGTAGCCATGACAGAAAACCCGTCTGGCAGCAAGGGACGTGTCTCGTTAACGATCCAACGAAATCGTCGCAATTAGAGCAATTATTACTGAAGAAATGTTCCGTAGCCTTGACCTTGCGGTGGTGGGTTACACCGCTAACAGAGCTAGGAACTGCTTGTGGCAATTCTGGGTACGCCACTCGTAGCAGATACATCAGGGGATGGGATGACGCGATATCAAATCAGATCATTTACAGAACCATCCATTATACAATGACGTAACCTGCTGTATGGAGAAATGAGGAAATGAATCTGCGAGGGATCTTTTTGGAACATTTCCCATTGTTCCATGAGGTTAGGTGAAATGGTGATTAACGTCGCGTTCATTTATATAATGACGTGCATGCACGTGTGTGTGTGTGTGTGTGTGTGTGTGTTTGTGTGTGTGTGTGTGTGTGTGTGTGTGTGAGTGAGTGAGTTGGGTTTAACGCCGCTTTTAACAGTATTCCAGTTATATCGTGGCGTGCCAGCTTAATGTGGGAGGAAAGCCCGAAGTGATGCAGGTCTCAGACATTTACCTATCGGTGAAACCCACGAGCACGGGCATGGTGCTGACAAACCTAGAAACATAATTGTAGAGAACCGGGTTTCGAATCCACAATCATAGGTTTCTGGCGTGCCCAAGGGACGCAACTCTGCACAGCGAATCGCGGCGGCTTAGACGGCTGGGCCACCCGTGCCCCCGTGTGTGTGTGTGTGTGTGTGTGTGTGTGTGTGGCTGCTTGAACTAGTACGGAGCTATGCCAGTTTTATAGTGCTAGCCCACCGAGATACTTTCCCGCACATTCGTGACCAACTCGTGCTTTTCCGGGACAAGCCGAATCGCGACTCGTGCCCCTCTCATGGCCATTTTTGCGACCGGATTCCGTCTTAGCGCAAACGGGCATACCTAAAACAATTGTCAACTCTTTGCGTAATGGTTAACATATATTTCCCCATATATTATATATATCTCAGATGCAAGTTAAAGCACATCGGGACATGCGGAATTATACAGTATGGTTGAACACATTTAACTGTGTCTTGGGTAGATCTATATTTTTAGATGAAGACATATATAAAATCAAAAATTATTTCTGAGGGATTGTTTGACGAAGAACTTGAAATCATACGCGCATTCTGATTGGTTTGTCGTATTTTCGCACATAACATTCATCGATAGGGGGACGGGTCTTCTTGCAGGTTACGGAAAGGGGCGAGTGGTGACGAATGCTTCCCGCAGTTTAACATGGATACCACACTCAGAAACATAATATTGACATGTTGTACCCCTTTATGCCGAGGGCAAGGCATATGTGTCATATTTGAAACTTGTTAAATGAAAATTAAATTTAAATGTTTTTAAGTATCATCAAATCGTAAAACTTCAATCGCAGCCCAGCCCAGCACCTTCATGGATGTTCAAGTTCGTGATGTGAAAATATGGATGCTCAATGCTGAATACAGTGTCCACGTCCACCATCCAGCTACAGAAGGTCGTAGTCGCAACATTATCACGTACGTGTGCAAGCCATCTGCATCAAATGGCCATTAGCACCTCTGTAGATACCACCTCGAGGTCCTCGATGCCACCAGCGCAGCTCCAGGACTTGACCTCACCCGGCCAAACACTGGCAAGGAGGCAATCGCGTGTCATCGCAACCTCGTCAGCCTCCTTGTTTGGATTGTATCCCTGGTGGATACGGCCTGGGTCAAGTGTGAAGTTGTTATGCCAGGACCAGAACAAACACACAAGACAAATTGTAATTTCATGTCAGGCAGCCGCTGGAGTTTCCCGTACCAAGAGTTGTCATCTCCAGGGCCCACTTGCACAAAGCGATCTTAGTGCTAAGACTATTGTAAGCCTATGTTAAAGTATGGGAATTATGATCATCTTAGCGCTAAGATCGCTTTGTGCAAGTGGGCCCTGGTCCTGATCACTTACTTAACGTCACTACCTTCATCTCGAAGGATATATACATTCGAAATAGATAAGGCGTCTTTGTGTTTCCATCAACTTCGAGACAACGGGTTCATTGTGATTTAATATTATTTTCAACATCTTCTTTATATGAGTCAGATTCAAAAGAATTTGGGTTATTCAGCAGGATTTGTCTTCCGAAGTTGATTTGAACGCGTGCGGGGTACGCGTGTGGAGTATTGAGTTCTGAGTTCTGCAGGCAATAGGGGCTTGGGTTCAGTTCGCATTAATGTAAAGTTATATAGATCTATTTGTATATACTTCCATGTTGTTGTTGCGTCGGGTCTTATTTCAGAACTTTGAAATGGGGTGCGGTCGGGTAGCCTAGTGGTTAAAGCGTTCGCTCGTCACGCCGAAGATCCGGGTTCGATTCCCGACATGTGTAAAGCCCATTTCTGGTGTCCCCCGCCGTGATATTGCGGGAATATTGCTAAAAGCGGCGTAAAACCATACTCACTCTCTCACTCACTTTGAAATGGAGCTCATCAATGAACGGGTCTTCATTCAGTTGGACCATACCAGTTCACATTAATGTGAAGCTCCACATATAGTCTCTATATATCCATCGTGTCGTTATTTTCAGGTCTAAATAAAGACCCAATTTCTAAATCCAACTGATTGAACTCATTTGATTTATTAACCGTTGACCAGACTCATTAGTATCTAAGAACAGACTATTATCGTATTGATAAATTGATGCCTCAACTGTAGAAGTCAAGGGCATTGCTAAACGGTGATAATAAAAAAGAAACTTGTTTACGGGGTATGCCTCGATAACAAACCAGGTGTTCATATTAACCAGGGGCGGTCGGGTAGCCTAGTGGTTAAAGCTTTCGCTCGTCACGCCGAAGACCCTGGTTCGATTCCCGACATGGTTACAATGTGTGAAGCCCATTTTTGGTGTTCCCCGCCGGGATATTGCTTGAATATTGCTAAAAGCGGCGTAAAACCATACTCACTCACTCACTCACTCATATTAACCATGTATGGTGCATTCCCATTCTACCAGGGAAGAAATATCGTTTTTGAACCCTCACTAATCCATTTTCTCCCTCATTACGGTGATTTGTAAGAAGTAAGTTTGGTGCTATTACATGTATTCGTCGCCAAGAAACTTTCTAATATACGAAATAAATAGATGTATGAAATGCACTCGTGAAAGGCCTGTTATATACATCGCTTTGCATTAAGGAGTCTGTCCGGGATTGCGGGTTCTCTGAGAGTGGGAAGGTATGATTGGATAAATAATTTCGTTGATCATATTCCGCGTTTAGGGATGAGAGAGATTTCGGAATTGGAATACATAAAAAACTAGATTCATGTTAAAGGAGAGTTATTTCATTTTTCTGATCTGTGTCAGCTCTCGGTGCTAACGATGTTCTGACTGGTATTCATGGTGAATATGGAACCGTATACTATAAATATTAAACACGTATTCAGTTGGAGATCAACGCACAAACTCACCTATTTCACAAAAGTTATTATGTTTCATACAGATCGATACTTTAATGTCGCATTGATTAAGTTTAATGATTCAGGAAATAGTATGTAAAATCCAAACTTAGATGAGTTCGACGTTAGTCTGTAACTCATAAAGAACGTGTTTCAAATAAATTCACTTCATTCCACTACAATTGTGGTGAAATCACAATCAATCAGGATGGGGAACGATTGAAGGCAGCGCAGTTTTACTATTGCAGTAAGTACTGCGGTAGTTAAAGGCACTATTGCGAAACGATTACAATCCATTTTTGTGTAATCTATTTTAATTGTGCGAGTGGTTTTGAGGTATATCCCTTTGCTTCGCCATCACTCGTAACAATAGGTACAGCGATTGCATCAGTCGTGTCCTAGATTGAGCACGGTGCTGGGGAGGATGGTAGAGAGTACGGGAG